TCCTGAAAAATATTAGGGGGTGCTTAACTTTTTTCCAGGTGTATATTAAAATGATTTTGGAACTTCACCACATTGTTACAGTCCATGTCACCATGTCTGGTCATACTTTATCTGATGACCATGCACCTTGACAATAACCCTGCAGTGTACTTGCCATTACTAAAGACTCCATTGGAAGGCTGTCATGTTCAAAGTAGATCCCTTTTCCCTACTGGTTTCCATAAGCCATCTAGCATATGAGGACCACAACTGCGATATCACTTGTTTCAGATCTCTTAATAGACCTGGTATCCAAAATTGATCCATATTTCATTGTTCTGCAATGCCATTAAGTACAAGGGATATCTCTATCTTTGAAATTCCAAATCCCAGATCTTTGTGATCTGAGTGAATGAATATTTTGGAAAAAGTGTTACATACCCTTACCAAAAGTGATCAGTTTTTTGTGACATCACACTAACTATGAAATTCTGAACAATATCAAAATGTAATTCTTATACATTCCATTCCAGTACAACTTCTTATTGGCTGTGCTTCTTACTTGACTTGTGGATTTGGGTATTCAGAATTGTTTTTGTGTGACGTAGTCAACTCTTTATATATCATGAATCTGGTTAAACATTTACAACTGTATGTGTTAATTTTTCAAACATAAAATTTGATTTTTACCTTATTAATAAAACTTTAACTTTTATTGTTGTTGAAAAATTCAAATGATGTTTCTTCTATAAATACAGTTTTAAATTTCTTTAAGAATGACTCACTGTTGAAAATCTAATATAATTTATTTTATGTCTTTCAGGTATTCCCAGGAAACTTTGACAGCAACAGCAAAGTAACAAACTATTTTCCAAGCACTATTAGAACCAGGTATTTGCGTATCTTACCAGTTAACTGGAAAAATTGGATCAGCATGCAGTTAGAAGTGTTGGGATGTTTCCATCCTTATCGTAAGTCTTATTTAATGTGAAATACCTATTTATCTGTCTTATATGTAACTTTGATCATGTAAGGTTATAAAAAGGTTTTTATTTAATAGATAGATATTAGTTTTGCTAAGAACGAGAAATCTAAATAGAAACACAACAATTTAAATAATTAAAGTGTAAGTTACATATAGGTGTTTCTGGTTCTATTAATTAATTGTTTTTGACATTTTTGAAGCCACCACAACCACTACCATTACTACTCCAATGATAATCACAAGAGTGCCTGAACTTGTGAAAGAATTTACCATGTCTACCACCATTACCATTGGTAAGATACTATGGCTCATGTATTACTGAACACACTTGCTCTCTTTTTTGTAACATTTTCACTGTATACCACCAGTACTAAATTCTATAGGTTACGTCTTTAAAGCAACATTCAAAGAAAATGCACTGTTTTATTAATCTTTTGTAAATGAACTTGTGCTTTCATTTTAAGTCAGTATGTTCAAATAATTCTCACGCACTTTCTTATGAGCAGTGTGTGTAAAAATGAAAAGACTTACTTTTCCACATGCTGGCGATGAGTAAATTGCAACCAGTGATTGACAGTGTTATTAATTTTAAGTCAGTACGTTACCAGTAGTATATATGTTACACATTTTCACAATAAATGGCATGTGCCACAATTATGTAATGAATAGTAATTTGTCGGGTTTGTTTAAACTTGTGCAGATTTTTTTTATATTTTTGTAAGCTAAAATTTAAAATTATTATTTTTAAACTAATTTGATTTAATAAAGATTGATTTGTATCTTTATTGTATAATTTCAGGTTTAACATTTAAAAGTGGCATTAGTGTCTATACTCTATGTCAGTAATGTAATGTTTGTTCTACCACTGATACTGATATTTTGATCATTTTTTTGTAGAATGTGATAACTTTGAAAATAAAGATAATTCAGTGGTTTCTCTAACCATGTGTTAAGTGATATTGACAAGTGTAAAGAACTGAAGTAAAATATCAATACATCATACTAAACACCAAGTCAAATTTTATATTTAAAAAAGTTGCTAAGTTGGAATTTTTATCAAAACTCAAACTATAACCTAAAGCTACAGGATTTGAAATGAACACCATAACAATAATTACTAGTAATAATGTACATCTATTATTACCCCCCCCAGTACTTGACAGTAAGATGATATTCATTTTACTCCATTACTGCGTGTAATGATAATTACTGTTAATAATATACATCTATTTTTAACACACATCCCACCCCACCCCCCAGAACATGACAACATGTTGATATTCAGTTTGTCCTATTACTGCAGGTAGTGATTGATAATTTCTAGTGATCATGTGCATCTGTTATTTCCCCCCACCCCCTCCAGTACTTGACAGTAAGACAATATTCAGTTTACCCCAGTTAATAAGAAGCTATATTCACCATCATTACTTTTAACTAACACATTGATAATTCCCAATAATTACTCTGAATAGGATATCCTTAGTTCTTTATGGTTATGACTTAATAGGATATCCTTAGTTCTCTATAGTTATGACTTAATCAGATATCCTTAGTTCTATATGGTTCTGTCTTAATAGGATATCCTTAGTTCTCTGCGGATATGATTTAATAGGATATCCTTAGTTCTCTGTGGATTTGACTTAATAGGATATCCTTAGTTCTCTATGGATATGATTTAATAGGATATTCTTAGTTCTCTGCAGTCATGATTTAATAGGATATCCTTAGTTCTCTGCAGTCCTGATTTAATAGGATATCCTTAGTTCTCTATGGATATGATTTAATAGGATATCCTTATTTCTCTGCAGTCATGATTTAATAGGATATCCTTAGTTCTCTACAGTCATGATGTAATAGGATATCCTTAGTTCTCTATAGGTATGACCTTAGTTACCATTAGTCCTGTACCATTAAAACATGTATCAATAGGATGTAGTTTATAAGTTCACTTACCATTACTTTTTATTAATCATATAATATTTGAGCCTTTCATTATGTTTCAAAAGAAATTTTATGGGTATGCATATATTTTTATGTATTGCTTAGTATTTTATTTCAAGAAAAAAAGAATGTTAGTTTTTATATTATGTTTTTAACTCATTAGACCTGCTACATACAGTTACAGGATTTTGTTTTTCCACCTTTCTTCCTCACAAGAATATGTTGAAATAAATGACAGTTTTTTTTGTCTGCCACATGTATCCTTTAACTTTAGAAACTTAACACAAAATCTTTATATGGTTATTGTAGCCACATTGTCAAATTGTTCTATTAATGTGGAAATTGGGTTTTAGTGAAATTATACTATATAATTTGGTAAAACTTTTGTTATTTCTTTTAGTCTCAGAGTGCTCTGATCCCATGGGTTTAGAAAATGGAATGTTGTCAGATGATATGATCTCAGTGTCATCAGCAATTGCTAACAGTGGCCCATCCCAAGTAAGGCTCGATACTGTTGCTGACAATGGTAAAGCAGGTGGCTGGGTTGCTGAAACAAGTGATGAAAACCAGTATCTGCAAATTGATTTTAGAACTCCTCGTACCATCACAGGCATCATCACACAAGGTAATTTCCTCATTTGTTTGGTTTTGTCGTTGTTGTCCTTGAAATTGTTCCAGGAACAAAACTTTTGAAACCCTGATGTTTGTAACACATTTATTTTATGTTTTAATTTGGTAAATGTGTTAGTATTGATTGTGTTTGTGCTTCTGAATATTTCATGATTATTTTATAAAAGATATAAACTAGATATCAAACTAAGAATCTTATTTTCCAATTTGTTTTGTTATAAACCTTTAGGTAGCCAAGATATTTATATATCCATAACAATATCCTTCCATACACAGATAAAACAAAAATAATAAAAAAATCAAGAAATTTATATATACAGAACACTATACTGACACACAGATAAAACAAAAATAAATGAAAAATACAAGAAATTTATATATATATACACACACACACACACACAGAGAACAATATACTGACACACAGATACAACAACACAATGTAAAAATGCACAAGGTCATTGAACATTTAGTTATAATTGTTCAAACCTTAATTATACAGAAATTAAATGTTGTGCGAATAGATGAATATCTGCACATCATGAGGCTTTCAGAAACATTTCATCAATATATTAAATACCGTAGATCAAGTGTGAAAAGGAGGTGTATTAGATTAAGAACATAGATTACTGACTAACTCATGTTTCAATGATTACTTTTCACACCCCATTCTTTTTCCATGAAAGCTGTGGTGCAATATTTTTGAGCCAATAATAAATTGAGTTTTAGAAAATTTAGAACTGAAGAAGATATTTTTTTTTTCCATAGGTCGTGATGATGCTGATGAATGGGTGACTTCATTCATGATGCTGGTCAGTAATGATACTGAAGCATGGTTTCCATTATATGGAAAGGATGGTAAAGAGGTAATGTATGTCTTTGAATGTTTCATGTTCCCTTCAGTGTGCCATGTGATATTATAACTTACTTATTTTAATATAGCATGTGTTTGAAATATCTATTGTATATTACTGGTCATCTGTTGGAAATAAAAACATTTATATATTATAAATGATATATAGACATTCAATACTAACATCATTTATGTACTTTTATATATATATATTTAATGCTTTTATGCTAGGAACTATAGAAAGTAAGTTCTTTTCTGCTGATAATAAAACAAACTATTAAGTGAAAGAAGGTTTAGAGCTCTTACTTGAATCAACTCATTTATAAGTTAGGTGGAAAATCAGTATATTAAATTTCTAGAAAAGGATTCTTTTCTTATAATCATGTCCAAATAAATCTTTCAAATACCCATGGACAAATGAAATTAAAATGAGGAAAAAAATAAAAAGGACTGAAAGATTGTAATTTGTGGTTTTCATTGTGTCAGAATTTGCACTTTTTCAACTCCTTGAGTTCTTGTACAGACATTAGATGAAAACTGTCAAATACAAGAACCAGATTGCTGTAATATAAATGTTATTATTAGCTGTAGTGTTTCAGTTTACTCTCAGTGAAAGCAAAGGTAATACTATGATACTTACTGTTCAATAAGTTGATGAAAATTACATTAGTGAATGGTGAAATACACATATGGTGATGTACAAGAATTTAGTTAATTTGGTTTGTTAGAGCATATTTTATTTATTTTTTAAAATGGAATGCAATATCATGTATCAATGAAATGCACTGTTTCTTAAATTAGCATCTTCTCAAGATACCCCGCCAATGGCTCAGCAGTAAGTCTGAAGGATTATAATGCGAAAAACTGGGTCTTGATACCTGTAGTGGGCACAGCACAAAGAGCCCATTGTGTAGCTTTGTGCTTAGCGAAAAAACAAACATTTGTCAAGATTTAGAAAAGTTTATAATTTTTATAACACATATGCTTTAGTTTTGACCTAAAAATTGTAAGTATTTAAAAAATACATGGTTGAATACATAGTAATGAACTGTTACTTTTGTATGAGTTTAACCTCACATAAGTTATTTTCATAATTTACTTAAGGAGATCATGGGTAACACTGATAGAAACACCCCAGTTATTCATCACTTTCAAGTGCCTGCTTCCTCGAGATATGTTAGAATTGTGCCCCTCAATTGGCATGAGAGGATCGGCATGAGAATGGAATTAGTTGGATGCTACCACCCATATGGTCTGTTTTATGCTTTATCTTTTTACTATAGTAATATATGGATTAATTGTATAGATGTTTTATTCATAATCTGTGCTCTAAAATAAATGTTAAAAAAATGTTTTGTTGATCGAGAACATGTTATATGTTACTGAAGCAGGAATGATTTAGTAATGATGCATGCTTGCTCAAAACTAAGTTTCAGGTAATATTGCCTTTAAAGAATACTAAATTTTCTTTAGATTCATTTTATTAACTTGTTTTATTATTATGCAGTATTAAAATTTTGGTTCTTGTTACAAAAGTTATTTTCATGCCAGTGATTTCTAGGGCTTGATTCTCTTATCTATATATATTCTATGGGATTGCAATTGCTATTTTGGGGCTATTGTTATCAGAAATGTGGTATTTATTTGTTTTATTCACAACTGGGTCATAAAGCTTAAATATTTTCCCCATTAACTATTTTGTGTTGTTTTTTCGTAATGATTTTAAAATTAAGATAACAGCTAATAAGCAGAACTAGAGAGATAATAATCTATTTATTGTTGAGTGTTAAGCAAATGTTTTTATTAGCTTTTATTTACAAACAACAGGTTTGAATACGGAAACTGACAAAATTACTAAGATACAGTAACCAAAATATTGTATTGTTGCACTGAGACTTTCACGTTTTGTTTGTCATGCTACTTGTTTATCTGATATCCAGTTGTCCATTTGTTTTATTTTTTTATAAATACTACATGTTACAGAACATCATGCTACTGTCCCACCTCTGATTGATACTGGAACACCACCTGTACCTACTACAACAACTGGTAATATAAAAAAATATATTTTATATGTATAATTTGTACATTAAAATTTAGTTAAATGTAACAGTTATTTTTACAGATTTTTCAGTCTTCATTTTTATATTGTATAACAACTTTCATTTACATGTGACAATTTGGAAGCAATGTTTCAAAATACTAATGTAAATCTTGATCAGGTCGTTATAGATATAAGATTTAGCGTTTTATAGTTAAAAGAAATAAAGGTGCATCTGTCATAATTAGCTAGAAATACATGCTTATGTCAAAAAGAATTGAATGGTGGTTATGTCAGTTACAGAAGAGAGCTTTTCATTGATATGTTTTTGTTAATAGTGTTGTTGGAAAAGGAGTGTTTGTGGTAAACCGATTTTAATTGTTTTGAGTTTTTGATTTATTTGAGGTCTTCTTGATATCTTTATTTAGCTTTTCAGTCTGAGACTGAATTACTGCCTCATTGATGTACTTAGCTGTGATGAAAGTGTTAGTTTTTTATTAATATGGTTTGGCTTTCATTTAACTGTGATCTCTTTCACTAATGTTCCATTTTCTCCAGGAGCAGTTAAACTTACAGTTCTTGTTTTGTGTGAGGTCCGTGATTAGTGTGATGATGACTGTATAAGGCTAGAACTAAATTTGGAAACACCACAGAGATTGAATTTTAACATGGTACTCCTAAATTTGTGGTTGATGTTAGGAGCATAGAGGAGAACAGTAGGAAAGATTTTAATAAAGAGGTTCTAACATGTAGACAATAACTACTGAACTTGATTGGTTAGCCACTTATTTTTAAAATTCAATGTAGTTAAACGTGTGTAACTCCAGGCTTAAAAGCTGGAGAATAACAGGAAGATCATACTGGAAGTCTACTGTTTGTTGAATTTTGAAGGCTTTAGTGTTAGAATGCCCATTCTTTTGATAATCAAGGTTAAATTGTGTTAACTCATCCTGGAGAGAAGTTAGTAGATATCTTAAAATTATATCTGAAATGTATAATGATGTCATTTAACTTCTGGAGCTGGCAGGATTTGAGGTGTAGGAGATTTTCTAGTTACATTTTCATCTGTTTTGCCATCAACATACTAGTATTCTACATTTCTCAGATGCCTCTATTTCTGTATCTCTTCTACATTATAAAATCCTGTTGCAGTTCAACTACATTTATCTAATAAAATGTATTCTAGCATCAAGACTTTATTTATTGTAACAATAAGTCAGTCACAAATGTTCTTGAATTTCTCATTGAAGTTGGTTTATAATAGCCGGTAGCTGTGGGAAATTTATGTAATATCTAATTAAAATGTAATTAACTGTAGCATAAACTAAGAAAAGAACCCAGGATTTTGTTCATGCTGAATCTAATGTGTGTCAGTTATAATGTTCAACTTTTTTATAAAACTAAATTTAGATTAAACAGAAAAATTAACTTAAATATACCTGATTAATATCAGTCCTGCAAACCACAGAGTCTCAAGCCTGATTAAAAAAAAACAACTACCTAATATAAAAAAAAACTGAAATTTTAAAATCACTTTTCAAAAACATACTCATTAATAAAGTTGTATTTCTCATTTTTTTAGAAACATCTAGTTAACACTTATGTTTCATCAAGAAATAAACATGAGTTGCTGTTTACACTAATATCATCTTGATTTTTCAAATGGCTTCTATGTGGGTTGCTTACAGTAATCTGAACAAGGGGGTGGTTGGGTATGCTCAAGCCCCCTTCCTTTATTCTCTTATACCCCACAAGTGCCCCTTTTCTTAGTCATGAAAACCTGTCCACAACTACTAAAAGATGTGCCTGATTCCACACCTTACATCCCGCAAGTTATTAGGGAAAACAAGTTTCAGTTTTAAAATGAATGGCACACAAGGCCTAACAGGCCTTTACTTCACAGTAAAAAACATAATTGTGATACACTATTAAGTGTTAATGTACAATAATTCACTATTTAGTTTTAGATTTTAGAAGTGTTTATAAGACCCAAATTCTTTTAGAAGTCTAAAGAAACCTTATAAAACAAAATACCAATAATCCTTTAAAAGTATTCAAGTAACCACAAAACATGTATTTGAACATATGAAAATGTTACAACTTTATTTGTAACTATGATTCTATGATACTACATTTATTATACACATTTAGCTATTAGCAATAATCATGTTCTTTAGAGATTGCATGACTTCAGGTAGTGAAAGAATTGTTAAAATATTTACAATTTTTCAACTATATTTGTGATGCCAATTTTACATTTAGTTCTGTCTGTCAGTTTAATTAATCTAGAAGCATCTTTGGAATTCTGCCACATTCTTTTCTGTTGAAATTTACAGAAGCCTGTGTTGAATATGGACCTTGGATGAGCTTATCGGTACCTAAACCCAGTGAATTAGGTGATATTGAACCAATAGATGAAATCATTACTGCTACTGGCCTGTGTAGTAATCCTGTAGGAATTGAATGTAGAGAGTACTCTACTGGTAGGAACTATCGTAACAGTGGACAGAAGGTTTCCTGCGACCTTACTTGGGGCTTAAAATGTCTTCATGAAGAACAGAAAGATGGGCTTTGTTTGAATTATGAGGCTCGAATCAAGTGTTGGAGTTGTGGTGTGTTTATTTAGATTCTAAAATCATCTTTTTTTTATATGTTAGAAAGTATTATGTATTTCTCTTTCTTTTCTTACAAACTGACTTAAACATCTTAAGGGTTTTTTTTCTTCTTTAAACAGTTTATCTTATTTAGCCATTTAAAGTATAAACTAGTTAGTTGAATACAAAATCCTTTTTAGTTTTTGGTATTTAGTTATTTAATATCTGTGTAAAGTATAATAGCCACATCTTCTGACTGATAATATAAGAAAAAAACAATTCATCTGAGTATTGTTTTGGAAAAATATCCTAATTGTACTTTACAAAAAGATGGGATTATAACCTTAATGATCAGTTGTATGCCTAATCAAGTGTTTCAAGAACTTCTGAACATTAATAGTGCTCTCCTTAAGTCAGCTCCTTGTTGGGCTTACTTTGAGACAGTCAGTTACTTAGTAAACAAGTAAAAATGAGATTAGTATTTTAGGACATTTCCAATGATACTTCCAATGAACAATGTATTTCACTGAAGTAGCAAGAAAAATAACTTTTTTTTATTATTATTGCAGAAAGAAGGATAGCATTATCATTTTATAGTACAATTGATCATACAAGCATAATGTTGGAATTTAAAAGAATTATTATGCTTCAAATTTGATATGAACTTCTCACTCAAAATACCTATCAATTTATTTTCAGGCTAAGGATATTACAAGATTATTATTCTTTGTATAGATTGTACTACCTGCATACATGATATAGACACCTGAATACTTCACTCAGCTTCTTGTTTTTTTTTGTGAATTATTTTCAAAAGAATTTTAGTTTATATATTGTTTTCTATATAGGTACTGTTTCAACATCTCCAACAACTAAGGCTCCACCTGTACTGTTATGCCCTGAACTAACAGAAGCAATGGCAAAAAAATGTCCACTGAGCTGTCAAGAAGGACTAGTTTGTAATGGTACAGCTTGTATTGACCCTGTAGATTGTGTCTGTGTTCATAAAGATAAAATCTATAGTGTAAGTATCATCCATCAGAAGTGCAATCTAATTTATTTCAAGATTAAATGTAAATGTATATATTCTTACCATTAACAAATATATACGTATATATATACTAATGCTTATAGAAGAAATAAATTCTAGTTTATATCAAAAATATTAAACTTGTAAACCTTTCATTAATATTTAGATATCTTGTGATGACTTGGAATTACAAAAGAATTGTTAATATTTAGGGTAAATGAGGATGTGTGTGTATTTGCTTATCAAACCTTCCACTTATTTTTCTATTAGCAAAGTGATATAATAGAAACTTCAGACTGCCAAGAATGCTTGTGTGTGATTGGTGGACGATCAAGCTGCTCACCAAAAGTTTGCCAACCATGTCAACCCGTGAGTTTACCAATATGATTCTTTTTTTTTTTATCAATTCGTTAGGTACAGAATAAGAGAAAACTGTTTATATCATATGCAGTTATTTACAATTTGAACAACCATTTTCTTAAATCGTGTATTCAATGGGATTATTGTAATCTGATGGTGATTTGATGTAATGTATCGTTTGTGTGAATTGCATATGATTGATAGAAAAGATTGCGAATGAAAGTTAAATATTTTGTTTTAAAATTGGAAAAGTAACTGCACTGCATTAACTATTTTAATCAATTACAACTGTCCAGTTGATTTTGCAATCAGTCATTGTCTTGAAGGGAATTTAGTTGAATGGATGGCAACTGCCTCTTGTAGAAACACAAGTGTAGAGGACAATGTTAGACAAGTTTTCTACCTTTCGTCTTCTGGTCAGCGTGTGTATGATGTTGTCAGTCTTTATAGTATTCTGGTGGATTGTGAAGAGTTGGTTTATCTCTATTTCTGATTAGTGGAAAGACTTCCTGTATATTCAATCAGTGGTAGCCACTGGCTTCTCAACTCTAATCCGGAATCTCTGTTTATTGGATGTTTTATTGTGTTAATGTAAAAGGAGTCTTTAGTTTGTCTTCCATAATTTGTCAATGATTCTAGTTTTCTCACAGTTTATTTTGTGTCCAATTGACTTGGTGTGTTCTGCAATGGTTGAATTTACTGTTTTCATGAGTCGTGTACTATCTTTATGTTATTTTATTCTCGTCACTCAAAGAAAACGCTCATTATTTTGTTTGTGATTAATCTATCTAATCTGTGAGTCTTGAGCTGTAATAACTTGATATTACTAACTGCAAATATATTGGGCTAAGATCATAGTTTTTAGACATTTTATAACATTGTCTACAAATTCATTTGATGGGAAAATATTTTTTAACATTATTAAAGCAGATTTAATAAAAGATAAAAAATAAAAAATTTAATATTTGCACATACCAAGTTATACACAAAGTCAGTTATCTAATGATAGATATGTGGAAAATAAAGTTGCTCAACATATGCATGTACATATTTTTATATACAGCATAAAAAATATTTATTTTGCACCACTTAAGGTCATTAAACAAAAATAATAACACCTTGCACATAAGAATGGCAATCTTCTGCTGAAAAAAATACTGCATATAAATATTTATTTATCTAACTTTGAAGTAAATGTGTCATATTTTACATTCGATGACTATAAAGTGTGCTTACACTCGTGACTTAGATCTAGTAATCATTTTTGAAATAGTTTTGTCTGATAAAGGGTTCTGTTGTGATAATTTATGGTAATGTCTTAATGACACAATATGCTTGACAAAATGTTTGTGATTAAAGTCTAATGTGTTATTACTATTGAAAACTCATAACTTAATAATTTCCAATTTTGAATAATTAAAATGATGAATATAAATTGTGTATGTTAAAGCAAGTAAGTAAAAATGCACATTTGCTCTAAAATATATGGCCAAAAAATATTCATATCTCTTGGTCAGCTAATACAAATTTCCCTCTGAAGGCAAGAATTACAACTTTGTTCTCAAAAATCAGAAACATTTTCTACCTTCTTCAGTTTAATATAATATTTTTTGGAATTATACAGTTATTTTGATATATGCAGTTTGCATAACACAAGGTCAAAAAAGTCATTAACTTGCTTTTGTTCTTTGTCATTCTCTTGAGATAATAACTTGTTTGACCATAGGAAACATGCATGTAAAGCTGCACCGTGTACATGGATGTTGACAGCTGTGTCCAACAGTGGTAGGTCAAGTGATGTATTGAGGTTATGGGCTCCATTAAGTTTGAATTTGAATAACCAGTCACGAGGGTAGTGTCAGTCACTCTGTGTAAGTCTTATGTCCCTGAGTTAAGTAAATAACATTGGGTTTACTCAGTTCTAGTAACAGTGACTACCCAGGGTACAAAGCAAGTACAAACACTGCATTTGTATTTTAAACAACGAAGATTGTTCATTGTGTCTTATATCCAGTTTCTTAATTTTCTTTTTATGAACTCAGCCAATTTCAGAAACTTTCAGAACTACTCTCTTATAAATATTTTGTTTGAATCTTTTGTTACTCTTTTGACCTGTTTTGTCACTCTTGGGGAAAATCAGTTTCACCTGAGAATACCACACATATAACATTTAGTCATTATTACAGATCTTTATATATCAGTAAAAACTGTACATATTTCTAATGTAAAGCAAGCTTACATCACATAAAATTTATTTTGTTTGGCTTAAAGATAGTCCTGAGAATAGAACTGAAAGTTTCTCTCATTATAAAGAATAACATATCAAATGGTTGTAATTTTTTAACTTACCTAGAAGTCATCCTTTTTGGCAAATTATTTGTTGGATATACAAGACTGTTCAATTTAAGAATTATTACTTAGCTTATTTAGTGATCTAATATTTAATGATTATTTAGTTTTCGTAACAAGACTGTTAAAAGTTAATTATTTTAAAAGCAGTAGTCATGACAAGCTTCATTACGTAACTCTGTATTAGTCATATGTTGTACAACAATTAAATTACATTCACTAGACTTTTGTAATATTGTTGATGTCATTTTACTTGAAGCTTCTAAGTTTTCTCATTATTTGTCATGTTGTTATCAGAGGGTTAGATATGTCTAGATTTTTCTGACATGTGTTATAAATACATGCAGATACAGAAAGCAAGGAAATTAGTGAAAGTAAGACAATGTTACTGAGAAATATAGATGTAGACTGCGTTTGTAGATTTAGCCATAAAAAGTATATAGTGGCAACTTTTAAAGTGTTATAATCATAGATTGTATTGTAGTAACAGAGTAGAGAAGAAGAATTTGTCTTTTCAATTGGGTTCTAAATTAACTGAATCAGTCTGTATGGACTTTTGACATAAAAGAAAATTATTTAAAGCTCTGGATACAACTGTGGTATCCCATAGTGCAACAAATGTTTATACATATGTTTGACTTGTTTTGAATATATTATTTTAAAAAAAGTGGATTGTGTGCTGTCCATTTATTGTTGAAATTTATTGCCAATGAGTCATCCACACCTACTGTAAATAATCTGGACCTATAAAATCTGACATTGTTCTGTAAGTTCTAAACAATAAATCTGAAATTTTAAGCACATTTAAATTAGGGTCAGAAGTAATCTATAGTAACAAATTGTTCCTGTAATTGATATTAATTTATCAGAAGTGTTAACCACCATTTTACTGGTTTGAGAAATCAATTACAAAAAACTAATTACATGCTTTTAAAGTTACGATTATTTTGTATGAAATTTTAACCATCTTTTTACTGGAGTCAGAAGTCAGCTATAATAGCAAATTACTTGTTCTTGAAGTTGTGAGTAATTTAGCTGAAATTTTAACAACATTATTCTAGGGTCAAAAGTCATCTCTTTTGGCCAATTGTTCCTGTATCTGTGAGGGTTGCCCAGAAAATACGATTCTCTGTCCAACTAGTGGAGAATGCATCCCTGAGAACCGGTGGTGTGATAATGTGATTGACTGTCCAGACGATGAAAAGAATTGCATAAGTATGTCTTATTACTTAATGTCTTAATTTAAAGACTATTAAGTATATCTTGTTACTTAATCTTTTATTTTAAAGACTATTAGATATGTCTTGTTACTTAATGTCATATTTTAAGGACTATTAAGTATGTGTTGTTGCTAAATGTCTTATTTTAAAGACTATTAAGATGTTCTATAGCTTTATTATTCTTTACACTTTTAACGTTATAGTGTTACATATGATTTAAGTGCATTTTTTTACCTTTCTTTGCTTTTAATACTTGTGCTTAATATAAACATGCTTATTATTTTAACCCTAGTCTACCTACAGCTTGAATATTCACAAAATTTAGAACACTTTATATAGATGTTGTAAAAATTAACAGCTTTATAAGCACAAATTAAATAATGAAGAACAAACAAATTTACAAAAATATGAAGATGATTGCTCTGACTATTTTCAGTGTAACACATGCATCATTTTCAAGGGCATACATCTTCATATTTTGGTAAATTTGTGTTTGTTCTTCATTATATAATTTGTCCTTACAAAGTTGTTAATCTTTACAACATTTGTAGATAGCACAAAGTACTACTTAACTTGATTACTTTATATAGATCACTTAAGTATGTAAACTTCTTTTAAAAATATGTATGCGAGTTGGCCAGTGTTAGTTGCAATTTTTAAACCTGAACTTTTATAATTTAACAAATCTAAATTGTATGTATTTTGAGATAATGAGCAAAGAGTACAAGACAATTCTTCCTCTTACCTAAATTCTGTTAAATGGATTTCTGCTCTGTTACTTTAAACTTTATTAAATGATGGCTCATGACAGTTTTATATCCAGTATCATTTTATGAACTTGTTCCCACTCATGTGTAAGTTTTTCAGTCTAGTTTGTTTATCTGTTGTCTTTTTAATAATATCTTTGTACTTGAAGTATTAACAATACTAACTGATTCTAATTTTGTTTCTCTGTATTGTGTCATTTCACACTAATTGTTAGTTTCTATTTTATTCAGTTTTAAAATGTTTCCTTTTCTTCTAATTAAACTAAGAAATATTTTTGTAATTACTTTTCTGTTTGAATGCAAATTTGTTGTATGATATTTTTTGCAATCTTTGAATTGTTAAAATGAAATTAGGAAAGAAGATTAGCCATAAATAATCTATTTACTTTTGTACATTTTTATTTTGAGTTGTTAAGAGCTTTCTGAAATTTCTTTAAGAAGAAATATTATTTAATATTATCTATGAAATAAAATGCTGCAAGAAAAATTTTTCTTCCAAAATAATTTTTACATCTAATCTGAAAAATTATATAGCAAAAGTTACTCATCAACTTGTCAACTGTTGGTGTCTATTCATTGTTTTATTTTAGAAACAAAAAATTAAAGCTACTGTTACTTTATATACAGGAAGCTTCTTACCAAAATAATAGAATTATGTATGTACAGTATCTTATAAACTATCTTAGCTTATATTATTATGTTGTAAAAATTCATTTTGTTCACCAATAAGTTTATCAGGGTAAGTAACTTAATGAGTTAGTTATACCAGATTAAAATTAAGTTATTAACTTTTCCTTTAGCAGTAGCACCTACAACAACAACAACAACTTGTCCACCTCCTGTTATGGTCACTTGTCTTGAAGGGTATACTGCGTCAATAACAAAGCCAAGTGGTTCTTCCTGTATAGAATATAATTGTGGTAAGACTTGATATATCTTGACGTGTGCTAGTTTTCTTTCCTTTTCACTATCTTTATGTAAATTGCATCTTTTGTCAATAGTTTAAAATTGTTCAGCTAATGAAATTATTTTTTAATGCAAAGAAGTTTACATTAGCAGTTTTTGACTTTTTTCTAAGTGTTTAGAATAAAAATATATATTATTTGGTTTGCTTTTTGTTCAGTTTGATAGAGCAAAACTAAATAATGGTTGTATCCCAATATTTTGATCGTACTTGTTTAGTTATCATGACATGCATCGTAATATCCCCAATGAACTTGCACTTGTGATAACTTCATTTTTTCCTCAACACTGCCTAGAATAGATGTATTTTAAATCTATTGTTCAATTACATGAAATTTACTTTCTCACACTTGAATTTTGTTCAAGTTTAACAGGTTTCCTTTGTTACTGAAGAGAGGAATATCGACTTTGATTGATATGTTGTTTTTATCATACTTACCCATAATTGCTTCTCAAGTGACTGTGACTTCCACTTAGTTCCATGATAGTGACTATTTTCCTAACATGGGGCCTTTTTTCTATCATGGGGGGGACTTGTCTTTGGTGGACATGACAGCCATTGTTTGATGTTTTATGAGTTCTTTCTTGCACACTGGACCCTCCCATTCCTTAGGCCTATGTTCCATCTCCCTGTTTGGACATGATTAAGATTTTTGACAACCTTTTTCTCCTAGAAGAGTTTGTTCTAGAGATGGCTTTAGCTGGAGACGAAAATCCTCATCATTCTGACCTCTTTCTTTACATGTTTTTTTAGGTATATTCCTTTCTTTCTCTTTCCTCTTGGCCTTCTTATTCTATCTGTACTTTACTACATGTCACACATACCCAGGACTGCATTGTTTTCCCTAATTATAGTCCATGTAGACTCATTTTTAGAATACTTCAATTCCTGAACTACCATCCTTCTTGCTTACTGTCCACCTTTATTCTGGCTTTATTCTTCATTTCAGTTACTCAATTCCCAGTCTTGTAACCTTTTTTTTAACCCTTTTGGTGGGTGAAACCATTCACTTCTCTTTCCCATTCTAGTGCCTAGTTTTCCCATTTTTGTCTCTTCTTTACTACCCTCCTACATTACTACTGGCCACTTCACCATATGTCCAAGGCACTTCACTGTGCTCCCAGGGATTTTTGAAAAGGTATATTCTCTTCTTTTTACTATATGGACCCATTCTACTTCTTCTGATCTACCATGTCTTACTTGATTCCTCTATTGGGAATTGTTGGGTAGGGATGTACCTGTCGTATTGGACACCCAACCTGAGGTAGCTCAACATCTGTTCTAATTATATACTATAGTTTCTCGACTTTGTCTCCTCACCTTTCTGTTCCTGCTTCTAGGCCTTCTGAATCCATGTTTCCCACTTCCTTCCCCAGCTCTCTGGCCTTATTTTCCTCCCTATTACCCCCCCATTCATGATCTTGAGGTCGTTGCTTGTCTTATCATTGTCTACTCTATCAGATTTGTCAGTGAGGGACCTGTCTGTCTCTATTTCATTTCACAGATCAAGGCTGTGTTTCCATTTCTATTATCATGCCTGTTCTCCACTTGTTACTTCTGAGTGTGTTCTTCATCTCACTTTTCTGTCAGGCTTGGCCTTTATCTTTTTGCCTATGAGAATCAGAATGTCTCGTCACCATGGTTTGTGCACCCTTTTCACTCTGACAACTAAGTTCTTTTCCTTGAGAACTTGATTTTCATTGCACCACTCATTCTTTTGGGCCATACACATATGTGCCACTTCCAGTGGTATTCGCAGAAACTGCAGAAAACCCTTTTGGGTTCTATTGTCATCTACTTTGTGTTTCTTTCTTCTCTACTCAATGAATTTTATTAGTGGCTTAACCATGTCGATACCACAGTGGTCATCCCCTTGCCACTCACCTGACCAAATTTCTTCACAGATGCTTCTCTGTCGGAGCGTGGTCTCTAACCAACTGCATGACTTTGTGCATGTGAGCTCCCATGGGGCATTCACTCCACATCACCATAACTTTGTCAGGCATGTTGCTTACTCCTCCCTCTAACATTTCTACAATCCTTTCATATATCAACTATCAGGGTGGTATCTGTTGCAGGACTCTTTGCTTCTGAGATGTGGACCAGCTGTTTGGGTTCATTCCCATTGAATATGTTTCTTCATTTACATGTGCTGGGAGCTCTGAACCTGGTAGCGAATTACCACTCTTGACCATCCAGAACCCACCCTTTGTGTAGTTCTTCATCTTCAGGATTTCATTGGGATTGCTCTCAGTTCTGCACAATTCTCTTCTGTCCCTTTGCCATTCTCTTTGCACCACAGTTCCACTCTTCTTGTCTCTGGTGTTCCTCATCCTTCAGCTGTGGCAGTCATTTCTCACATCTGGTTCTGATTTTACCCTTTCTGCATGTCTCTTCTCCCTAGTATACTCTTCTTGTTACACAGCATGCCTTATTCTGATCCTATTGGTTGCACCTCATTTGCCTATTCATCCCTAATTCCCTCTGCTAGTTGATATGCCAGCTCTCTCTTCCACTACCATGTTCCCTCTCTCTCTCTTTCTTGCTTTAACCTGACACACCTTTTTTTTTACCCAAGGGTGTTTCCCCTTCATCTTTCCATGTGGAACTTGTCAGGTTCATCATGCACAGAGTTGGATTCTCTGTTCATTTAGCCTTCATATTCTGTTCCTGTCATCCTTCAACCTTGTCTGTCTATCACTGGCAATGGCAGAATTGTTCATCCACATCTCCTTTATTTTGGATCATCTTACTTTAGCCCACCTTTTGGCCTGTTTCACTAAGCTGTTAAACCATTGATTGTCAGTCTCCACCATTACTGATTATTTGGTGACTTTGCCACTAAATTTATGTCTTTCTCTTTACCACCATAAGTTTCTTCCTTCTTCACCAACCCTTTGGGCCAGTTCCCATGCCTTACAGAAACCTTGATATGTTTTTCATTATCTCACATGTGCTCGATTCATGGCATTGCTTTATTGTTCTTTCTTGCAAGACTTACTTCCACCTCATTCTTGCCTGTCATCACCGTCTTTTGTAGGTGTACTCTCTTTCACCATCCTTATTTACTCTTATACAATGATTTGCCCTTTCTTGTTTGTCCTTGGTTTGGCAGTATCTACCATGACTAGTTATCAGACAGCTTTCTAATCCTATTGTGCCCCTCTCTTTCCCACCAAATGCTTTCTCCTGTCCTTTCCATGTTGTCCTTGTCCTTCCTTCTTCACTGTACCCCTCATCCAACTCCTGTGTCTGACTGGGAACTTTATGTGGCACTCTCTCACACATGCTCTGTTCATGCCCTTTGCCCTCTTGTTCTTTATGCTGTCTTTCTTTCAAGATTTATTTCATCCTCCTCCTCTCCTGTGATCACCGTCTTTTGTCAGTCTATGCCATTGATACTTAGCATACTCTATTTCAACTTCCTTCATTATTCCTATACCCTAACAGGACCTTTCTTGTTTGTCCTTGGATTGACAGTCTCCATCATGGATAGTTGTTGAACAGATTTGTTGATCATGTTGCACCCTTCCCATTACCACATATTTTCTTTCCCTATCTTCTCGACATTGTTCCTGTCCTTTCGTTTGACTCTTATACTCATTTGAGTTTACTCTCTCCCACACATGCCTCATTCAAGCTCTTGGCCTCTTGTTCTGTATACCATCTTTCTCTCATGACATGCTTCCTTCTTCTCACCTGTGGTCACTGTCTTTAGGATTCTTATGCCATTGATACTTCCTGTACTCTCTTTCTTTACCATACTTATTTACTCTTCTGCTAAAACAGAACCGTTCTTCCTCAGACTTCTGCTGCTTGTTTAGGTGCTCAATCTTTCTCTGTTTGTCATCTCTATGCTCATTCTTCCCCATATTATCTTCTATATCTAGTTTGGACTGTTTGGCGTCATCTGACACAAACATCTCTCTCTTATCTGTTTTTTCCACTTTTTGTCACATCACATTCTCAACCTGCCTCACTCTCTTCTATCTCAATTTCACCTACCCATGGATGATATCCTTGGGGCTAATACGTGGACGTATTCCTACAAATGTATCTCTCGTTATCTTCTTCTTCTGGCTTTTATCTCCTGAGGGGTTTCGACTCCCACCAGTCACTACTCTATACTCCACACCATCTTTGAGAAGGGTAAGTACAATGTCTTTTTCAGATCTCCTTCTATCATTATTGGATCCTATCATGTGGCTGGTGTTGCCTCCCAGAATATACTTATTTCCCAAAATCCTCATCGAGCCAGGATAACAGAAAATGCTCAAACCTTTAACCAGGCTCTACCAGTGGCTACTGCAAGATGGGATGTTCTGCAAGACCATATGAGGTATTCTCATGGTATACTCAATTGTCCAATCCAGACTGTATCACTTCAACAAACTATCATGGAAAAAGCCAGCACCAGGGAAGTGTTCTGTCCACTTTTGTGACTTGTTCCCAGCATTTAAAAATAGGGTTTTGCTGTCACTTAATTCATTGTCTCCAGTAAAAGACCTTTCCAGATGGTGGTCCAGTGGGGATCCGGGCACCTCTAGAGGTCTCTCCAATGTGAATTCTCCCCCTTCTTTAAATGGAGCATGGGAGACCCTTCCAATTAAACAGCTCCTAACTACTAGAGTGGTGGACCATGGAAAATCCTTACCAGGTGGGCTTATCACAATACAGTGAGAAATGGGGCAGTGATGACACTGTCAATGTAGTACAGATCATCCCTTAAAAACATACCACATATGCCCTTCTCCTGCAGCCAGAGTCTCTTTAGTAGAGTCAAGATGAGCACACCAGTACAGTCTGGTTGTATCCCAACCACACTACACATATTGGCTCGCCAACTGCTTATGTGCAAGTGCTCTGAATGTCATGTTCTCATTCCACTCAAACTGTGACATTTGGGGCTCATTTGCCTCTTCCCCCATACACTTTGGGTGAAGAGTATATCTCAGTCAAGAGGAGAGGTGGCCTTCCATAGATATACCCCTGCTATTGGGTGTCACACTTCAAGGGCTTTCCCTTTAGGCTCATTCTTAAAGGAGTTCATCTGGTTTTTAGAAATTTTGCACCATCCTCTCCACCACTTCAGCGTGGAATTGTAGCATTTCTGTGTGAAAAGGTGACTTATTGTCTCAGAAGTTAACATTTTCCTAATCTGAAAATGTACTTCCAAAAGATACCTCTTCATACATTCCCACCCATTCTTCCCACTTCTGGTACACATTTTTTTTTCTTGCTATCAAAGAATGAAGTTATCATGAGTGCAAGTGTTTAGGAGGATTCACTGAGCATGGCTTTTGTAACATGATGATGTCATCATGCACTGGTGCAGTTGAATTTAGATAGTGGCTTGTAATTCTCATAGGCAGATGCATGAGGAATATAGCATTTCTGTGTGAACAGATGAGTATCTATCAGAAATACACTTTCAGATTGGGAAAATGCTAACTTCGAAGCTTTTATATTTATGTTTTGTATCTTTTGTAAATTTGTTCTGTATAGAAAATGTTATATACTAAAAATATGGATGCTAAGAGTAGTTTGGATTTTTTGACACCTAATGTAACATAATTAGAAACTAGAAGAATATTTCACAATGAATATTTTGAGTTTGTTTTATTGCAGTGTAGCTCTATACCTTATAATGAATTCCTGCATTTGAAAACATTATTACAGAAATAGATATAAAAATAACTTTGAATACAGATAGTGTATTTTTTACAAGAATTCTGATGTTTTCAAGGCTTGTGCTAGAAAATTCTATAACTTCTAGGGTATTGAAAAAAATTGGTGAGAAACAAAAATATGCATTTATTAGCTACTAAATTACCAGGATAAGATATATATATATATATACTTTATTAGTTATTGAAAGATATAGATAAATCTCCTTTATTTTAGCAACAACTGAATATCAATAAACCTAGTTATTTAGGTATTGTGATTTAATAATACAATTTTCATTAATTTGTTGTTTTTTATTACAAAAAAAAGTTGGATTGAAGAGAACTCATGAAAGTGTAAAAACTTGTTTCCATATAATTTTGTTGTTCTGTAATAATGGATTATATATTATTTTAGTGATATATTAAAATGTCAAAGCAAAATCAGTAAGATGTTGATAAATGTATATTTATTTATAGTTTTTTGTTGATTAGATAATTCATTCTCATAAATCTGACATTTTGTTTTAGTACCCATCTCAACCACTGAGGCTACAACAGCTACTCTGTGGATGACACCAACTCCAGTTCCAGAAGGTGAGCTATAGAATGGGTTTATTGTGGTTTGTCAGTATGTATTGTTGAGAGATTTTATAAATGCACGTATATACAAAGCTTTTCAGGCAAAAAAGCTCAAAACAAACTGTTGTGTATAAGACATACAGTTAATTAAATAAAACTAAGATATAATATTAGGGAAATAAGAAAGTTTTATATGAAATTCCCAAAATTTTTATAATAAAAGTAATAAAACTTTATTTTATATATACATATAGGTTCTCTCCATTACACCATATTTGTTTTGGGACAAACATGTATAAATGTTATGTTTTGTGATTAGCACATACACATTAGTGAAAATCCATGGTTTCTAAGATCATTCACCAAACTAAGAGCACATTTTAACAAAATAATAATCAGAGTAGATGGTTAAGTATTAAATTGGTGGGGGGGGGGGGTACAATTTTGAGGAAAAATTCCATGTTTCGTTCGTTTGATAGTTGTAGTTTTTTTATCCTGAACATTCTAGGTATTAACTGCAGTTTTTACTTATTACACATAGTAGCCCAGTTGTAATATCCTGTTTGAATTAATCATTTTGTTTCATCAGAGAAACTACAAAACTTCCTTAATTTCACAGATGATGAATAATAATTTTAGATGTTGGAAGTCATGGGTTTGAACACCTGTTTCTGCTCTAAATTTTAAATCTAGTTTTATTTTATTCCACATCTAAGACTTACAAATAGATTGAATCTGATAGATAGAGTTTCCCTACCACTGTGTGGGTCTTACTTATTAAGATATCTCTTTTTATTAAGATATATTTTTGCCCGTACACATTAGTTTTACCCTAGTACTATTTTTTATTTGTCTGTCTTTCACCTGTGATCTTATTTTTTGTCTGAAAAATTGTTTTAAAATTTCATCAAAGGTTTGAGGATGCTGTTTGTATGCTTCCTTTCCTTTAGATGCTTAAATATATATAATTGTTGTGTATTTTATTTCTTTCTCAAGAGAAAGACGCATGTGTACATGCTGGGAAAATTACCTAAGTAATTAGAACTGTTCTGTATTTTGCTTTTGCTTTTTTTTATCCAAAATCCCAAAATTATTTGCCCATCAAGTAGCTCAGCAGTAAATCTTTGAACTTATTACACTAAAAATTGGGTTTCCATATCCATGGCGACCACAGCAAAAATAACCCATTGTGAAGCTTTACACTTAGCAGCAATGGTTTATTCTTTCCGAATACAACTTTACAATACACTTATTTTCAACAGTCGCTCTATAACAAACGCTATATCAACGAACATCAACAATACTTCTGACTGCAGTTCAATTACTCACTATCTACACACACATTATTGTCCCATCACGTTGTCACCCTCTTTTATATACCAGACTACCCTATATCTCGTAAATGCTAGAGCATTCGCCAAGGTACAGGATAGTTCTAGAAACGTGGCGTGACACTAGTCATGTGACTTCGCTGACGCAACAGTATTTAATTCTTTTATGGTAGCTTAAACACTTTTATTTTATGTAAAAGAATTAAAATTTTTAGCTATAACCTCATTTTTGTTCATTTTAGTTCTGAAACAAAGCTTCTAAATTCATTCTCACTTCATATATTGTGTTAGATCAGATATAAATGAAATATTGATTTCACTGAACAATATGTACAAATATTTAGATTGTATTATTATATTTTGTATTTATGGCAAGGCTAGTTTGGCTAACTACCATCTATAATTTTGAAGTACTGGCCACAGGATAGGCAACTAGTCAGTAGCAGTCTACCACCCACCATTCACTCTAAGAAATTAACTGTCACTCTTATAATGCAACACAACTTAACATGCAAGGAATATTTTGTGGTAATGCATGTATTAAAACCGTTGAAGTGGATAAACAATTTAATAGCTTGAGTTACAGTTGGTACGTTGAAGTGGATAAACAATTTAATTTGAAAATTCAAAAATATTTACCAATTGTCTTGTCATGAGTCTAATTTCCACTAACGAAGGCATTAAGTAAAATTAATTGCTCATAGCTTGTTAATGTTGCTGAACATTTGCAAAGTTTTTAATTCAAGCTATGAGGATGTTCACAAAGAATATGTGTTTCAATTTTCACGTTTTTATCATTTATAAGTAGAGTTATTGTGTTAAAAAAGTTTATGTAAATGTTACTTTATACCTGCCTCATTAATTATACATATGATGTATGTGACTGAAAGTGTACTTTCAGGTATTGCAACATTATACTTTTGTTGTGTGCTCAACTTGAAGGTTGTAAGAAGTGTTTAACAGTGTTTCCTTATCATGTAAGTTTGCCCGGTTTTAAGGGTCAGTTGTACCTTAAAAGTATAAGCAAAAGTTTTAAACAATTGAAGTCTTGAAACATCTTAAAAAGTAAACACAAATTTGTATTTTCACTACTACTATAATGTTCTCTGTGCAGAAAATGCAACCTGTGAGTTGATCAACAATCATCTTCGAACGTTGGATGGGCAAGAACTAGTATATGATATCTGTGATCATGTAGTGCTTCAAGACATTCTCAACAAGGAATTCAATATTACAAGTAAGTGAATAGGTTTGTTTATACCCAGAACTTTGTTTATGATAATAACAGTTACTCCAGCCAGAAATATAGATATTTTGTTTATCTTAATTTATTGGTTATCATTAAGATAATTTGTATGTGGAATATGTTTATACTGGTTACATAGAAGTATGAATCAGTTGTACGAGATAAGTTTGTATGATAATTTTGGTCTACCGAGATAACTGATAAATGTTTTTCATGATTAAAATTATTTTTAATATGTTTTGAATTAAAAGTATAGTAAAATCTCATTACATTATAAATTGATAAAACAATTTTTCTTTTATTCTTCTGAATGAATGTTTATAAAAAAATCACATGATACTTATAAAAAGAAAGCATAAAATTAAAAAAAATTATTGAAGTTAAATGTATTTTAATTTCTTTACCTTTATATGAGGGAGCATTCTAGACAGGATATGTGAAGGTTCAGCTTGTCAGAATATGTACATTAAAAGGTAAATTTACATAAAAGTAATATGGTATATATACATGAAATATGATTTGTTTTTCTCTTTTAGTCCACAAAGACTGTGAATTAGGTAATCCAAAGGACTGTAAGAAACGCCTAGAAATCCACCAGGATAAAGATGTTGTCAAGTTAGATTCTGATCTGAATGTTGAGCTAAATGGTCATTACTACACAGCTAGCCAGCTCACCAAACTTAATCGTCACAGTACTAATTATACTCTACACCTTATTGGTGACTTGGTGGTATTTCGGTCACTGGTGAATGATTTTAGTATCACATGGGATAAAAGGATGAATTTAAAAGTTGGGGTGAGTTTTTTCTGGTTTTGTTTTAATGACACCAAAAAAATATCTTTTTTCATTGTTCCTATTTTAGAAAAATCAAAGGTAAATAAATAATAAAGTCAAAATAAAAGAATAGCCAAAAACACAAATACTACTGTTGTCATTGCTTTGTATTATCTTGTTATTCAGTTTACATTCAATATGACTGATGTTCTGAAAGTCTATCATAAGTATAATCACATTGATTTTTCTCAGGCATCCAAAGGAATGATGTACCAAGTTGCTGGCCTCTGTGGGTTGTTCAATGGTGAGAAGGGAGATGACAAGCAAAGACCTGATGGAAAACTAGCAAACACTGGTGAGGAGTTTGGTGACAGCTGGTCATCTGGAATGAAGGATCGTTGCACTCCCCAGACTTGCCCTGTAGACATAATGACAGAAGCTATGGAAACATGTAACCTGCTGATGTGAGACACCTACCATAGGAATCACTTTAAATAAATATAAACTTGAGAAATTCAAAAAATATTTCATTCTAAAAATTAGTATACACAGAAGAAGTTAACAGAAGTTTGTAGAAAAAATTCATCTTCTAATCAAAAAGGCAAACAAAAGAAAAAATTAATTACTATGAGCAATATAAATGATGTATATATTGATAATGATTAAATGGTCTATTATTTTTCATTGTTTAAGTTTTGACTTAAATTTTTTTTAGGATAACTTACTGTTTTTTCAAGTTTGTTTGTTGTAATGTGAAGTTTAATTCTGATTATGTAACAAATTATGTATTCATGGCTAGCTGAGGATTACAGTTACAGTTGATTGAATTTGTAAAATAATATGTTTATTTTATATTTCATAAAATTAAAAGTTTAAGAACTGTTTGTCAGATCTAGCTGAAATTTATTCGTTTCAAACAGCAAAGGTGAATGTGAAAAAATGATTGTTAATTTTTGTTTCAGTTAATGTTAGTATTCATTCTTCACTCTCTTTTGACAATGAATACTATCTATAAACAATTTTCTTTTGAAGTTCTAAATATTTAGTCTAGAAAATTGCTAGTAAATCGCTTTTGAATCTTCTACTATATTATCTTAAAGTTTTATTCTTATATTATAATGTTTACCCTTAAAAAGCTACATATACATAAAAGAATATACAAAGATTATACACTCATTTTAACAGTTGGTTATATAGATATTTATATTAAAGAAAGTAAATATATTACAGAAGACACAGATTTACATACAGTCACTCACTACATCCTGCAACATGATTTAAGTAATATAATTTAGCATAAACACTTTGCAACTCTGAAATATTTATATGTGTGTGTGTTATATATATA